TCACCATACTCAACAGCCCTGTGTCTGCTGTGGAATCCTTCAGGTTTCTGGGATCCACTATATCCCAGGACCTGAAGTGGGAGCCCAACACTGACACTATCATCAAGAAGGCCCAGCAGAGGACGTACTTCCTGCTTCAGCTCAGGAAGCTCAACCTGCCTAAGCAGCTGCAGATCCAGTTCTACGCAGCCATCATCCAGTCTGTTCTCTGCACGTCCATCACTGTCTGGTTTGGATCTGCCACCAAAAATTACAGGAGTAGACTACAACGGACAGTCAGGCCTGCAGAAAAAATAATCGGTGCCAGCCTGCCCTCCATTCAGGACTTACATTTCCAGAGTCAGGAAACATCACTGCAGATCCATCTCACCCTGGACACAATCTGTTCCAGCTCCTCCCCTCTGGTAGGCGCTACAGAGAACTGTACGCCAAAACCAACAGACTCAGGAACAGTTTCTTCCCACAAGCCATCACTCTGATGAACAGCTGACTCTCACTCACAGTATCAGGAACAATTCCTGTGCAATAACCCAGTAACTCTGTCTCTAATCAGCCACATGTTTACTGGCTACCACTTACTATATATTCCCCATTCTCTATTTCAGAACTATTGTATTTTATACCAAATCACAAAAAAATATTGTGTTATTGTATTTTTGTATGAGTAAGCACATCATGAGCAATGTACAATCCAGAGTCAAATTCCTCGTATGTGTACACATTTCCCAAACTTTGTCTGAGGAGAGGCCCGCAGTCTCAGACTTTTAAAACGTCTGGATTAGGGAATCACGGGGGCCGTAACATCACTTCCAGATAGGGGTTTGTGACATGAATCATCTACGATAATATCCTAACTGATGTTTTAACAATGTGTAAGCAGACATTATCGATAAGATAGATAAGATGCTTGCCTATGGTGTGGGAGACCTGGGTTCAATTCCCTCTGTGAGACATCCACCATTGTGCCCCTGAGCAAGTCACTTAACCCCTAGTTGCTCCAGAGGCGTGCGACCTTTGACATGTATAGCAATTGTAAGTCGCTTTGGATAAAAGCGTCAGCTAAAATGTATATGTTCAAACTGTGGTATTAGTTTTTTTACACATTTTCTTAATATGATTAATCCTTTTCTAAAAGTTAACATTTCACCGATTCTTCTGTGATTTGTTCTTAATACTTGTTCTCCCCCCTCATTTTATATCACGTTTAATAGAAAGAGTGTAGACCCACCTGACTGCTGTGTCTGCTCCTCTTCCCTCACGACATTATCATGGCCCTTTGGATCTGGGATCAGGGCTTCTGTTTTCAATCCGACGTAAAAGAAACTCAGATGAACATTTTTTAAAGCCGAAAGCCACGTGTGTTTTCATAACAGCTTCATCGTACAGAGCCACGCGAAGCTTAAACACTCAAAGTCTCGCAAGGTATGTAGATAAACATCAAGGCCCTTTAACCTACGCAAAACTTGACTTCATTTAAAACATTAAGTAAAATTTTTTATATGTGCCTCAATCTTAAGTTTGTTTCCCTCATTTGATAACACCTTTAATAGGAAGAGTGAAGACCCACCTGACTGCTGTGTCTGCTCCTCCTTCTGCTGCTCCTCCTCCCTCACAACAGCCTCATGGCCTTCTGGATCTGGGATCAAGTATTCTGTTTTCAATCAGAAGTAAAAGTTAAAAAAATAAAAAAAATAAAGTTCCCTAAAACTGCTGCTACAGCTGAAATCCACCCGGGTTTTCATAACATCTACAGAACCAGGCAACGTTTAAACGTTAATCATTTGTAATCAAAGTCAGCAAACATTAAGTAACACTTTTTATATGCCGATTTGCAAGTCACTTCATGAAAATGTGTGTAAGTTTTCACTTTATGTCCTCAGGAGTCTGCAGGTTTGTCAGCGAGCAACGAAACTTTAAATTAGCGTTTTTTTTAAATGAAGTTCCACAATTTAAACTAACACAGTGTTTGTGACTGTGTAACTTAACGATGTTATTTATTATTGTAAAAACTGAACCACTGACCTCTCGTCTCTAGTTTGACCCGAGGCTGCAGCACCGCCTCCAGCTGCCTCCTCTGCCGGTCGATCTCCTGCCTCAGACCCGAAGCCTCCTCCTCGTACCCGGCTACGGTTCTCTCCACGACCGCGAAGATTTCCTGCGCGGCTGTTGTCAGTTTCTCGGTGACGATCCCTCTCAGGATCTCCGTCTTGGACATGTTATTGGGGCTGTCGAGGGTCCCCGAGCCGCCGCTGTTCCTCTGCACACAGTACACCATCTTTATATTTATTTCTTCTTGCAGCTGTATTGCTCACGCACAATAACTTTGTTTGTGTGAACTGTGTTGTTTCCGGTTTTGGTGCGTCTACAAATTTTGTCCGACGAGACACAAAAACAAAAAGGGCTGTTTGGAAGGGAAATGCTGGTCAAATCAAAAATTGATTTGATTTTCTTCTGTTCATTCACTTTGCATTTTGTTAACCGATATATAAGGCAAGTTACTTTCAAAATATAATACATTATAGATGACTAGATACTGTCTTCTGAGAGTAATTAATTATATTACAATATTACTGTCTCTGATTTGTAATGCTTTACACTACTTTGGCGTTACTCTTGAGTTACTTTCACTGCTATTTATTTAATGGGCGCATTATTCTGATTGTTGTGCTGCATAGGTGGTCTTCTAGTGATGTGCAGATCGCAGTTATATCTGCGGATCGGATGGGTCTTTCTCATAATCTTCTTCTTAATAGTGCGAGCAGGGATCGACAGGATTGGTCAGGATGAACTGACACACTTAGTGAAAGCACAAACTCAAAATAGAAATGTATTTACGCATGATCCATCGGGGGAGCTCCCCCGTAGTTTGCACCCTGCCTACAATCTCGACCATCAGAGTCCCCCAACAGGAAATAACATTTTTACTCTTTTCCTCATTAATTAAACCAAAGTTTTCTCGGTGTTGGTGAATTATTAACACCTCTTAATTTCAGGTTCAAGTTAAAGCATTAATGAGATTGTAACGGGTGTAATATTACCTATTTTCTTTTATGCATTATATTCCTGCGTTCCAGCAAAAAGCAACACATCACTGTAACTGTGTTACTTTTCTAACCCTGTCTCGCAGCCTTTTATTTGACAAAGATCTCACCACTATCCTCTTCGGTCTCTTCACTTCTGCCATCAGCCGATGTTGTGTCCATAGAGGCTGCTGAGGCCGGTGATGTTGCCCGCTTGCTCGGCTCAAGCTCGACACCTCCGTGCCGCAACGTTACCGGTGTGCGAGTGCGTTATTTAGTAAATTTGCTAACATTAAGTCAAGATTTATAGCGGTGTTTTGATTGAGTCCACACAATATAAATAAATGCATAAGCTATATAATTAATTTCAGTATATAATAAATGCATTAGGCTGCTCATTCTTGTCACATCACCTTTCCACCAACGAAGAGGTTAATTTGGCGCATTTAGCTGCGTCTTGTGCCAAAAGTGTTTTTCTTCTAAATGCTTTTTTTTTGGCACCACACATTTTTTTCCCCTCTTTCTTTCTTTTTGACATATTTACCTGCTCTGTTGTGCTTGTCCCCGTGAACCAACACGTATTTGAAGAAACTCCTTTGATCGGACCTTGAGCCAATCAGATTTCAGCAAAAAAAAAAAAAAAAAAAAAAAAAAAGATCAGTCCAAGTGTGAAATCTCCTTTCTTTGACCTCGATGGAAAACGGCATGAGGTAGGAAAGATGTAAAGGAGAATCCATAAGGACTTATTAGGAAAAGAGGACCGCGGGTCTCAGATAATCCGCCTGCTCTTTTCTAAGCGACGTAATTATGCGACGGCGGATCTTACTGACGCGGCCTGCCGTGAAAAAACTACAATATTCCGAAGATGGACTACAAAAAGCGCATCTTTGACACTTCGCTCCGTGTTGTTGTAATGCAGGCCATCTAAAGGTAGACAACACGGTGGAAACGCCTACAGTAGAGGTTAATGTGGTTGATGGATTTTATAGTTTGAGTTTGAGAAGGTGCGCCGCTTTAAATGTTGCCGCCTCAAGGAATTGTGGGACGGAATTCACTCCTTTCTCCTGTCCAATGCAGTGAAGAATGTACAGACTTGTATTTGGGGGAAACTAAACCACCACCACACAAACACATGGCTCATCACAGAAGGGTCAACTCCTCAGGTCAATATTCAGGTTACCTACATTTGACACTCTGTTAAGGAAAACAATGTTTTTTAACAATGGAAAGGGAGAACAAATGGTGAAATGAAAGAATGAAGGAAGCCGTCTACACCACTGTGGAGAGACCATCTCTCAACGGGGGAGGATGTCTGCGACTAGGGGTGCTCTGATCAGGATTTTTGGGGCCGATCGTAAGTAGTACTGACCGATACCAATAACCAGGTCCATTTGAAGCCTTCTATGTATCATGGAGCATTATATATTTATTTAACTCTTATTAACATTCATAAATATTAGTTTCAGTCCAGGTGATGTGTGATAATGTAATTCTTTTTCATAAAAGCATGAAACTTGTTACACTTATACAATTTAGGGCCCTAAACATTTTAGAAATGGAGCCTCAACTTATTGACTGAAAGGTCATTCTTGAGAGATATAGTTAACTGATTATAGCTCATCCAGTACTTTATCTGTTGAAATGCCTTTTAAAGGGCCTTTACAGCAAATAACATGTAGTATTGCACTTGCAAAAAAAGTGAATGCAGCCCCTAATTATTGACTGAATGGTTGTTAGAAGAGGATAGACTTAAAATATCTAAATGATGAAAATTGCGATTGTTAATTCACGTATATCTATAGGTGAATAACACACTGCATGTATCTGGTGAAATTTCACAGAAAACGATATTGTGGTGTATCACATTTTTTTAAAATATCATGCAGCCCTAGTCTGAATAAAACGGGAAAAAATATCAGCAACTGTTGTTATGGCCCGGCTCAGAGGCCAAGGCAAATAGAGGAAACCACGCTTAAGGGATTACCAGAAAAGGATGTTTATTAACAAAAGTAATTTAACAAATATAACAAACATACAGACATTGTAGCAAAACTATACAGTCAGAAACAACGCAGCCCCTCGCGTCTGCAACACGCTAAAAGTGAAGAATACATTAACGTCCTTCTCACTAAATTTAGGCACCAAGCGCAAACTATTTAAAATATCGCTGCCCCGAGCAAACTCTTCATTCCTTGAGAAGTCACATAATTTACCTTCTTTAATCAACCTCAGTCTTTCACTTTCTGGATCTAACTTTGCCCTTTCTGTTTGCTTCCTCATTTGTTCTACAGGCAATGCTTTCTCAACTTATGCTGCTTGCTGCCGCATCTTTTCCAACTCTGACTTCATCCTCAAAATCAACATTTCTTTCTGCTGTTCATAATTTAAATCTACATGGAGGAGACACATCCTGAGAAAAACCATCCAAATCCAAATTAGTAGGACTGTGCGATTTTTGTACAGGTGTTACACCCATGTCATACAATGTGCCCTTATAATAGACCTAACATTTTCCTATAACCTCCTGACGCCTACGCTGATTTTATAATTATCTGCTATCTTTAACAACTGATCCCTAGTACAAAAATTCCTCCGAAGGAATGTCAATGAAATAATCTACTCCTGCCATGATTAACATCACCTGATCAATGCACAAACAGCAATCAGTCCATGGTAAACAAAAGAATGTATAGTATTGACCTAACTAGTGCGCAACAAGGCCACAGAGTAACCTCATAAATTGAGCGTCCCCTCTGAACTGCATAACTCCATCTACATAACTCAACCCTGGTCTGCAGGAGTTTCTGGCGGCGGGTATTTACGCACCAAAACCCAGTAGTTTGGCCAAGCGACCAGCAAGCTGGCAATGTACGAGACAACCGCTCCAACCACTTTCACCCCGCACTACATTCACATTGACACGAATCACAAAGAGGGAAAACGTGCTCTGCATACAGGGGAGTTAGCTCAATATATACATTTGCGCAAAAAAAAGGTCAACACTTACCTTCCTTGTCCCGTGACTATTCTGCAGAGAGAAACTAATTTGCACTAACGATTCCATCACCCCATAGCACCAAATTACACCTTGTTAATTCCCCTACGTAGGTTTCCACACAAAAAAAAAAAGAAGAAGAGCGGAATAAAGAGAATCCCAGACTAGACCACCTGGGCAAACCCCAATTTACTGCATCACCCCCCTGTCGGCATCTAGGGAAGGCACGGATTTACAACACGCTCCTACTCATCGTTTTAACGGTCAACAATACATTAATTAACCACTGTTAACAGCATAATTCATGACTTTGACGAGCCCCCAATTTGTTATGGCCCGGCTCAGAGACCACAGCAAATAGAGGATTACCAGAAAATTTATTTAAGTTGCAAAACATAATGCCGGGTTAACTTAAACAAACAAAGGAGCAACAAGGCAACATGCCGTGGTGCTGGGGACCAGGAGAAAGCAAGCAGTCGAGCCCCACATCAGTCAGGAAGGGGTGGATTATATGCAATCTGGAGACAGTGGCCAGCTGCCTCTGATCTGCCGGATAGCCTCAGCTCCACTCCACCAGGAAGTTCACCCTGCAACACAGACACACAGAAACACCCTGGCAGAGGCCCTGGGGCCACCACAATGTGTGTTCAAAGAAGGACTGAAGAAGTTTACAAATCTGAGCAGACGTTTGATGTTCATTATTTCTGTGTTGTGGACACATTTCCGTCAGCATCACAAAAGAATGAAGGACAGATGTGGTTTTCAGCGCCATCAAAACAACCTCCATCGCCACGTTTTAGACAGAACAGGCTGATAAAATGAGTCTTTTAGGACGTGGATGCGTTCAGAACCGGGTTTTCTTCCCCCTGGTGGCTCTTCATGTGTGTTTTCAGACAGTGGCTCTGAGTGAAAGCTTTGTCGCAGACGCTGCACTGGTAAGGTTTCTCTCCGTTGTGGGTCCTCATGTGGACCTTCAGGTGTTCTTGGCGAGAGCTCGCTTTCCCACAAACCCCACAGACAAACCGCTTGATGCCCAGGTGGGTCCTCACATGGTCGTTTAGGTGGGACTTGTGTTTAAACAAGCGGCCGCACTCTGAGCAGCTGTACGGCGCCTCACCGGAGTGCGCACGCATGTGCAGGTTCAGCCTTGCGTTGGATACGAAGCCTTTGCTACATATGCTGCAGATGAACGGCCTCTCATTGCTGTGCGTTATCATGTGAGTTTTTAAACTGCTGTTTTCCACAAACGTCTTGCAGCAGATGTGGCAGAGGTACGGCCGGTCTCTGGAGGTGTGGATCTTCTCGTGCGACTTCAACCCACTGGGAAGTTTAAAACGCTTCCCACAAACCTCACAGCCGTAACGTCTCTCCCCCGAGTGGGTCGTCTTGTGGCGAGTTAAAGATCGCCGGTTGGTCAAAGATTTACCACAAACATTGCAGTGGTACTTGTCTCTACCTGCGTGCATCTTGATGTGAGCTTTGAGCTGTGTCTTTAGACCAAATGCCTTCAGGCAAATATCACACTTGTGTGGTTTATCAGCCACGTGGACCCAACGGTGAGCATTCAAGGTGGAAAACTTAGCAAAGGTTTTGTGGCAAACGTCACATTTAAACGGTCTGTCTCCTGTGTGTAGAGTGGTGTGGGAGTTGAGGCTACTGATGGTGAGGAAAGATTTCCCACAATATGAACAGTCGTGAGTTTTATGATCATTTCTGAAATGTCCCTTTAACTCTTCCACAGATTCAAACTGCTCTCCACACACTCCACAAACAAGCTGTGGATCCTCCACGTGACTCCAGGCGTGATTGATCAAACTGCCCATGTTCCTGTACCAAACTCCACAGACTTTACAGGGCGTTTTACTGCTCCCAATCAACTGCCCCTTCACATCAGACAATTTGGACTCTTTCTTCCTCCTCTTCTTTGGCGACTGCAGCTCAGGATCTGGTTTCCAGTCGTCGTCTCCGTTGAACACCTCATCTCCATCTTTGTCTGCATCATCACTGGAGTCCACTTGGCTCTCGGCAGCATTTTCATCATCAGCTTCCTCTGTTTCTATATCCTGTTGTTGTGATATTGAGCTGCTGGACTGAACATCAACTTTGTCACCTTCCACATGTTGAACAGGGCAGCTGTGGGAAAAAATGTAAACTTTACTTTGTGCATACACAGATAATTGTAGTGTCCAGGGCCCTGTTTCAGAAAGCAGGCTTAATAAACTCTGGGTTGATTGAGCCTAAGGTGTCAAACTCTTTGGTTTCAGAACAGCTGATCATAATAAGTTCAGTCAACTCTGAGTATGTTGAGCCTGATGGAAGCGCGTGCGTGGGGATGGAAAAAAAGCCATCATCAATGGAGCTCCGATACTAAGATTCACCATGGCAACGGGTAAATAAAGGCAGAGCCTCCACTTTAATTGGGTGGAGCTAGAAATATGAATGCGTGCCAACGCGGACCATGATAGGCTCGAAAACGCGATTGGAAGAAGGATCGATATGTTAAAATTATTAGGCTACTATACAGTGTTGCTCATTCATCATTTACCAGACTGGGATTTCCTTAAATGAAGTGTTACAGCCCGTTACATTTTAAATAGGAAGGCTATACTTATTAAGCTGTAACCTGACAGGACAAAAACCTGATTATGAAAATAGGTAGGCCTACAGATCAAATATAAAAAACAGTTTACTCGTGAACCTGTGATTGTAAAGTCAGACACACCCAGCAGGTTAACCTATTAATTCTTTTTTTGCAGTGGAAGATGTGTGTTAATGTTTTAGATGTCTATTTTACATTAATCTCATTTCGTATTTTATTAATGCTGTCAAAAAACATTCAGATTATCAGTTCATTGATCAGTTTTATAGGTTACATGTTAAACAGTAATTCTTGCAGTAATGTAGCCCACAGTAAGTGTTTTCAGTGCAACTGTCCACAGAGTTGCAGCGTTAAAGACGGACATCGATTTTATTCTGTGCTGAGGATAAATCCACGATGTGCAGAGATCGATGACAGATCGATCAAAAAGCGGTCATTTTCAAGATCATGTTTGGGTAAAAAACTAATAGCCTATCTAACCGGGATTTTAAAGTTTTTAAAGATGTAAATACGTTCAGATATGTGCTTTGATATCGACAGAATGAATGAGGAAATTAAACGGTGTGTCAGACAGCCGCCTCAGGCTCTGCAGGAGGGGAGGAGTCAGAGAGAAACGGACCGAGTTACTGATCTAGGGATTATCTGATCTCGCTCTCTGAAACAGAAATCCCAGAGTTTCCCTCATCTCACGTTCAACATACTCAGAATTTTCACTAATCCTGCTTTCTGAAACGGGGCCCAGGAGTCCTCACATTAATCCGGACCAAATTTGAACATAAAATACAACATTAGGAATTATGACAAGGTTCGCTGTGGAGTTGTTGAAGTCTTATAGGGCTTATGGGACTAAGCTGTTTTGTTTCTCGAGCTAGAAGGGAAGAAAAAGACTGCCAGCTCCATGTACACGGGGTTGCAAACAATGCTGGATTTATCCATCCATCGTCAACCACTTATCCTGCGTACAGGGTCGCGGGGGGCTGGAGCCAATCCCAGCTGACATCGGGCAAAAGGCGGGGTACACCTGGACAGGTCACCAGTCCATCGCAGGGCCACACATAGACAAACAACCACTCACACCTAAGGACAATATAGGGTCACCAATTAACCTAGTCCGTCTGTCTTTGTACAGAGCAACTGGAGAGAACCCAAGCATACATGGGGAGAACATGCAAACTCCACACAGAAAGGCCGGGGCAACCGAGGTTTGAACCCTCGTCCTTCTAGCACACCCATGGCAACAATCACTACAAATGGAATACATTCACAAAGCTTCACACTCAGGGACCAGACAAGGATGTCCTCTCTCACCGTCACTATTTGCAATATTTATCGAATCATTAGCTGTAACAATATAATTACCGGTATCACAACAAATAACCGAACACACAAAATTAGTCTTTATGCAGATGATACAATATTAACTCTGCAAAACCCAAACAAATCACTCAAGGAAGTTATGAAAATCATCAATGTCTACTCTAACCTTTCCAACTAATTAATAAACTGGAAAATCAACAATTCTACCACTATGTCAGCACGGATGGAAGCTCCTCTTCAGAACTGTCAAGGGCAGTACTTACAATGCACTCATTTAAAGCACGCAATCAAGGCAAAAATGAACACAACCTTCAACCACCACCCCTATTAAATAACATCATTAAAACTGTTAATTCAAACAAACCTCTCTCACAAATATATATAAGCTTCTGTCTTCCATTGATTCCACCATATCTCTCCCAATAAATAAGTGGGAAAAAGATTTCAACCAGCACTAATAATGAATTCTGGACCCAAATATGCAAGAACATCTTTAGCAGAACAAAGTCATTCACAGAATATATATTACTCAACACAAGATGCACGTAATGGTACTGACATTTGCATTCTGACATCTGCATTCACTGTACTTTTAACACAACTGACCATTACTTCCATGCACTCTGGCTCTGCCCACCAGTACGCCAAACACTTCAGAAAAGAAATAACCATTAAACTAGCACAGATCCTTGGATAACACATCCCCTTATCCCCATTACTGTGTTTACTAGGAGATCCAGGTACACTTCACATCACAAAAACAAATAACACCCCTTCTTATTAGCCCTATCGCCAAGAAAACTATTTTACTTAATTGGAAGAATGGAAAACAACTCAATATTCCACAGTGGTGGAATATTTTAACAAAACATGTAACATTGGACCAAAGCTCAGCCATTCAAAATCAATCTCAACAATTCAATGAAACATATTCAAAACTTCTTACAACTCTTAAACTGCCGCTGACTTAGTGCCACAGTAAATTCCAACAAAAAACACCTATTTAAATTCCAATACTTTTGTATCTTCCATTTACTTTCTCCTATTGGTATCAGTAATTATATCATTAACGAGGACACGTCGTCCATAAAAAATTTATTTCCTTAGTATTTCTTCATCACCTTTATGTTAAAAGTAAATTCTGACCCGCTGCTGTCATGGTAACTTTACGTTACATCATGTCATCTATTTTCTGTTTATTTAACGGCCACGTAAGTGCCGAGTGAGAAAACAGCTGCATCTAACATTACAGACGATCTGTAACTGTCTGCACAGTCTGTAAATTGTTTCAGTTGTTTTCTTTGCCCCACACTGATGCAGAAATAAATTTGATTATCATACCGCATTACTCAATATTGAAATAAATCAATACCAGTAACATTTAAACTTTTAAGTAAAGTAGTCTAATTAATGTCTGTTATTTTTAGTATTATCAAAACCCATCAGTGACGTGGAAATGTGATTCATTTTAAGATATGCTGCTATTGTCATTATTCTAACGTGCTTCATCAGGATGACTGAATAAAATATTATTGATTAGACATATTTTTGATATTTATTTTGGATAAAATGGTACGTTAGTCGAGTAATAGGCAATTTTTTCTTTTCTCAGTCATTAGATTAAATCGACGAACCAATAAAATTATCGTTATGTACAGCCCTACCCAGTAGTCACTCTGTTTGCAAGCATTAGTGACTTGTGAGCATTAGTGATTGATTCAGGAGGCCATGGGAGCCAGTGGAGGTCAAACAGTAATGGAGTGACATGAGTCCTTTTGGGCTGATCAAAAACCAGACGCGCTGCTGCGTTCTGAACCATTTGTAGGGGTTTCACCGCACAAGCTGGAAGACCTGCTAGCAGGGCATTGCAGTAGTCTAGGCGAACGATAACCATGGCCTGGACCAGAAGCTGGGTGGCATACTGAGTGAGGTAGGGCCTGATTTTTCTGTTGTTGTATAGAACAAAGCGTCACGACCGAGAGACAGCAGCAACATGGTCTGAAAAGGACAGCTGGTCATCAATCATGACACCCAAGTTTCTCACAATGCTGGTTGGAGTGATGGTTGAGGACCAATTTGTAGTTTGATGTTGTGCTGGATAGATTGCTTGGCTGGACAACGAGTTCAGTCTTAAATAGGTTTAGTTGAAGGTAGCAAGCTTACCAAATATATCCTAATATATTTGTTAGCATATTGGATTATTTATCTGAAGTAACTAAAGCTGAGAAATAAATGTATTGAGTAGGGTTGACCCTGAATAGTCAAAATTCGATGCTTCAATGGGCAGAACATTCGACTGCCAATCAGTGGTGTTAATAAAGTAGGATCACACAATTTCGGCGATTTGGGAGAGCTCAATGTGTCATTTTACATAGAACTACTTTTACTCCCAGTAAGTTAATATACAGCTTATTATGATATAAATTTCAACATATAAGGCTGTATAAAATGTGAAAAGAAAGAAGTTTTTAATAAATCTTTCTAAAGCACGCAAAACTCTGCACAAGAATGGTCAATAGCAGGCGACTATATAAATCCTTAGTTGGGGGACAGCCCTAGTATTGAGTAAAAAGTATAGTATGTCTGGATGTAGTGAATTTGTAGTGGCAGGCATGACCCAAGTACCTCGAAATTGTAATTGAGTAAATGTATTTAGTCACTTTCCACCACAGAATCAATTTGAAGCCAACCTATGTACCAAATTTGAAATAAAAAGCAGAGAGAAAGTTACTTTGCAACAGACCTGATCTCTGGACTACTCGTATGGAGTAAACACAACCTGGTACTACTGAGCACACAGAGGAACAGCAGAGAGGTTTCTACAGAACTTTTGATCTTTCTTTTCAAACATGAAAATTAGTAATTTGCTGGAATCCGTTGCAACAGAAATCAATGCAAGTTCCTTTTTAAATTACCTTGAGCTGAGCCCGGCTTCATTGCTTTTTATCACCACGGCGGCAGTGGACGAGGACTCAGTGGTGGTGTTGTTTCTCTGTAAAAGGCGAAGCTCCTCCTCCTCTTCCTCATCTCCTGTCTGCTAGTAGTTGTTCACAAATTATATTTAAAGAAAATTCAACTGATGCTGGTTCAATTTAAAGGGTAATGTAATTTTTGACTATCTCAGAGGAAACCTCAGGTAGTATCAGGGCCTTACAGAGGAGGGACCTGTACGTGGTAAAAGAAGACGGGTAATACTACAGTATCTACCTTCAGTCGGATGTAGAGGGCTGAGTATCCTGCTCCGGTGAGCCTGATGCTCCTGAAGATCTCCTCTGGTGTCAGCGTCTTTACTTTGAGCCGCTGGAGCCTCCTGCTTCTGTTGGACTTGAAGACGTCAAAAGGTTTGTTGTCTCCTGCCAGCTGAGGGAAGGTGGACCTCAGCAGGTCCAGGAAGTCCGCCTCCTGTAGGCCACGAGGACACTGCAGCTCCTGAACCGGATATTTCTGAAACACTGACAAAGACAAAGATACACCCAGGAGTTCCACATTACCTCTTAACAACCTCCATCCAACACATTTAGTCCATCCAGAACTACATCTTTAATATTCACCATTTTTTGAAAGAACATCTGATTGCGAATCCTCCAGTACGCAGACTCTGAGGAGGTGGTGATCCGGTTCTTGTCGGAGGCTTGGTCTGCCAGGCTTCCTCCTCGCAGACGAATCTCTGGGAGACGATAACCTGAGAGATGGTCGACAGAAGACACAATTTCTGATTATCCTGCAGTCAACTACGAACATTATTATTAAGATAAATATTCCCCGTCATGTCCTGGCAACTCAAAAACATCATCTACTTGTCCCCCTCACAGGGACATGGAATATCCTGGTAACCTACCCCATTGATAGCACATATCACATCAATGGGGTAAATACCTAGGGAAAAAAGTAAGTTTTAACAAAAAGTGCAATCAATACAAGAGAATTGTAAGGGGAAAGAAGAAGAAGAGCACAGGAAGTGCATGAGGTTAGGAGTTATAGGTTAAAGTGTTCTTGGAAGAGATAAGTTTTCATGAGCTTCTTGAAGTTAGAGAGGGACGGATGTCCCTGCTCTGATGGCGTGTGGTAGCTCGTTCCATAGCCGGGACTGAGTTTGCTTTGTGTGTAGGGATGGCAGAGCCAGGCGGCGTTTGTTGGTGGAGCGTAGTGGCCGAGAAGGAACGTAAACTTGTATTATGGAGTTTAGGTATATGACTCAGGAGGCCATGGGGCCTGATCAAAAACCAGACGCACTGCTGCATTCTGAAACATTTGTAAGGGTTTCACTGCACAAGCTGTAAGACTTGCTAGAAGGGCATTGCAATAGTCGAGGAGAGAGATAACCATGGCCTGCACCAGAAGCTGGGTGGCATACTGAGTGAGGTAGGCCCTGATTTTTCTGATGTTGTATAGAGCAAAGCGGCACGACAGAGAGACAGCAGCAACATGGTCTGAAAAGGACAGCTGGTTATGGATGCCTAATTATTTCCTCCATTATTTGTATGTTGTAGGTTTGTTTATTTAAGTGATGCGTAATTTATTTTTTACATGGGTTTGTTTTTTCTTTGATTTGTTGCACACCACTGTGTGTGTTTCTGATTGTTTTTCCATTTGTCTATGTTTTACATTGATTGCTATACAAGCACTTTGCTACCTGAAATCAAAAGAATGAATTTGAACTTTGAACTAAAATAATTAAAACCAATTCATGGTTAATAAAAATAGTTGCTGTTTGATTTAATAACTGACAACTAATTTGGCTAACTAGCATGCTAAGAGCATGTTAAGCTAACAAGCTTCATTTGAACAAAATGGTTCCAGGGAAAACAGACCAGGAGCACACAAAAGGATGCCCACAGGGGTGTCCACATAATTTTAGCTAAGCTGTGATTTGTCACCTTGATTCTAATTGATAATCGGGGTCCTTAAGATCTTCTTTTAAGCTGGTTGCTAGTTGCGCTGACAGCTGCTGCTCTTCATTGTCAACATCACCCTCTTCATCATCATCGTACCAAAGTTGGCCCAGGTTCCCATTGTCCTCCTCACCTGGACACAGATAGAGTCAAAGGTCAGAACTTATTTACTTATTACTGATTGGGTGATAACAGTTCAAACTGATTGGCTTTTGAAAAGATAGGGTGGAGCTCATTATCATTTAACACTACGCGTCTTGTAAGGCGTTATGATGCGCGTCATTGGGGACACTGAGCCCCGTAAAAAGCGGGACTTCTTCAGTTCAGTCATCCTTTGGATGAGGGACGAAACGTCTTCCAGTATCTTCAACCAAGTCCAGGTGCCCTTGACTTTGACCTTCGTTGGATAAGATGACCGCTATTCTCCCCCCTTCCGCGCGCGCAAGAGCGTACCCGATACCATCGTCCATCACGATGTTTCAAAGTAGACAATGTCCGAAGGAAATTTTGTTGACATCGCCCAACCCTAGTGGGGGCCGTACCATCACTTATTATATTAACCGTCAACGACAATATCTAAATTGATGTTTTAACAGTGTGTGAGTAGACAATATCAAGTACGCTACAAAAACACTTTGGCCACACATTCACTGCATCGTGCGTCACGCATGCATTACACCCAGTACTCTTATTCTCGCAATACTACAAAGCCGAAGACAGCTCTGGGCACACACACCACCAAGACCTCTGACCTCTTTTGAGTGTTTTAAGCCACAGCCTAAGACTTCATCTGTTTTCTAAGTGTTTTTGTATCATTTTGCTTACCATTATCAATGCGGGAGTACTTTTACACATTTTCTTAATATGATTCATCCTTTTCTAAAAGTTATCATTTCATTGATTCTTCTGTGATTTGTTCTTAATACTTGTTTTTTTGCTCCTCATTTTATGTCACGTTTAATAGGAAGAGTGTAGACCTACCTGACTGCTGTGTGTGCTCCTCTTCCCTCACAACAGCATCTTGGCCCTTTGGATCTGGGATCAGGTCTTCTGTTTTCAAATCAGAAGTAAAAGGAACTCAGATGAACATTTACCAAAAAATACTGCTTTGAACAGCCGAAAGCCACTTGTGTTTTCATAGCAGCTTCATCGTATAACTTAAGGATATAAACACTCAAAGCCCTGGAAGTTATGTAGATAAACAGCAGGGCCCTTTAATCAACAAGAAACTTGACTTCATGCCGATTTGTAAGTCACATCATGAAAATGTGGGTAAGTTTTCACTTTATGTCCTCATGAGTCTGCAGGTTTGTCAGCGAGCACAGAAACTTTAAATTAGCGTTTTTTTAAATGAAGTTCCACAACTTGAAAAAACAAAGCTCGATATTTATTATTGTAACAATTGAGCCACTGACCTCTTCTCTCTAGTTTGACCCGAGGCTGCAGCACCGCCTCCAGCTGTCTCCTCTGCCGGTCGATCTCCTGCCTCAGACCCGAAGCCTCCTCCTCGTACCCGGCTACGGTTCTCTCCACGACCGCGAAGATTTCCTGCGCGGCTGTTGTCAGTTTCTCGGTGACGATCCCCTCTCAGGATCTCCGTCTTGGACATGTTATTGGGGCTGTCGGGGGTCCCCGAGCCGCCGCTGTTCCTCTGCGCACAGTACACCATATTTAATTTCTTCTTGCAGCTGTATAGTTTACGCACAATAACTTTGTTCGTTTGAACTGTGTTGTTTCCGTTTTTGGTGCGTCTACAAATTGTGTCCGACCAGACACAAAAACAAAAAGGGCTGTTTGGAAGGGAAATGCTGGTCAAATCAAAAATTAATTTGATTTTCTTCTATTCATTCACTTTGCATTTTGTTAACCGATATATAAGGCAAGTTATTTCCAAAATGTAATACATTATAGATTACTAGATACTGTCTTCTGAGAGCAGTTAGTTGGATAACAATATTACTGTCTCTGAATTGTACTGCTTTACACTATTTTGCGTTACTTCGAGTTACTTTCAAGATGTCCTCGCAGTTATATCTGCGGATCGGATGGGTCTTTCTCATAACCTTATTAATAGAAGAATTGTGTATGAAGATTCTCAGTCATCCAGGTCATAGTTACCCAACGAAGGTTAAAGTCGAGGGCAACTGAAGATACTGGTCTCTTGGATGAGGGATGAAACAACTCAACTTTAACCTTCTTGAATAGAAGAATTAAAATAAGATGAGAAGAATCCTTATTAATAGCATGAATCGTCTCCCCATTAAGAAAGACAGCATCATAACGTCATTGTTTATTTTATTCTCCCACACTCCGACAGGATCGCTCAGGATGAGCTGACAGCAGCCAAAAAAACATGCAGAAGGAACTTAAACCTGCATTCTCTCTAACAGCCAGCAATGGGCGAGTCCGCTGAATCAGAATCAGAAGGAGCTTTATTGCCAAGTAGTGTTTTACACATACTAGGAATTTGCTGTGGTGATAAGGTGCTACACCTAGACGAACATACTGTCAACATAAGGGTAGATGGGGAGACAGAGTCCGGCCCAGCTGCTTTTTTTCCTTTCACTTTCGGACCCAGTGGTTGCGCTTAATTGAGATTAGAGAAATAACATTTGACAACCACTCATGTAACTACAACTCTGGATTGGACAAGGGTGTGTGCCATGAGCTACAAAGCAACTGCAGGTTGCTTTTGTACTGGCCCGATCGGGCAAGTGAGTTGTTATTACTTATAATATATAAATAATTTCAGTATATAATAAATGCATTAGGCTACTTATCGGTACCTGTGCTGGGTCCTGCCTCATCTGTGACTGCCACGGCACCTTTCCACACATTTCTTTTTCCTCTTTTTTTGTTTGACATATTTACCTGCTCAGTTGTGTCACACAACAATGGGCTGAGTTCAGCCCCGACAACACGTATTTAAAGTAAATGAGCCAATCAGACATCATCAAAAAAAAGGATCGGTCCAAGTTGGGAGGAGCCTGTATCCCCCCTCAATATTGAAAGTATTGGTTTGGCCTAGTCTGATAGACATAGACAGCGTTCGCTGCAGCTGACTGGCCAGCCAACGCGGACCACTTAAAGTTGAACATAAACTGAAAACTAAAAAATCTCTTGAACACCGTCCATTTCAGGCTGAACCGGCCGTTCTGGATTGTTCACAAAAATTCCCAATGGCCAGTCGTGGTTGATATCAATATCTGATCGGCGCCTATCCTAATGCTGTCCAATGCAGTGAAGAATGTACAGACTTGTATTTGGGGGAAACTAAACCACCACCAAACAAACACATGGCTCATCACAGAAGGGTCAACTCCTCAGGTCAATATTCAGGTTACCTACATTTGACACTGTCAAGGAAAATAATGTTTATAACAATGGAAAGGGAGAACAAATGGTGAAATGAAAGAATGAAGGAAGCCGTCTACACCACTGTGGAGAGACCATCTCTCAACGGGGGAGGATGTCTGCGACTAGAGGTGCTCTGATCAGGATTTTTGGGGCCGATCGCTGTAAGTAGTACTGACCGATACCGATCACCAGGTCCATTTGAA